GAACCGCTCCGAGCTTCACCATCTCCAGAAGTGTGATTTGGTCACAAATGTTACCTTTACTACATGGGGGGCTGTTGGAGTCAGATATACTTGAATTCAAACCCTGGCTATACTACTATCTAGATGTGGAGTCCTTTCTAATCTTTGAAATGAGCATTATAATTCCTGTTTCCCCAGGTTCCTTTGAGGACTAACAGATACAGTGAATACACAGAAGGTAGCACCTGATACATAGTCCAGTCGTTTTTTTTTTTTAAAAAAAAACAGTCCATTTGCACCTTTCCAATGGTTTGGACTTATTTAAAGGGAAAGACCTAGGTACAGATACTCAGGCAAGAATAGCTGCATGATGTGCTAAAATGTCCTTTACCATAAAATGGGAGGTCAGTAGTTCATAGCCCTGGTTGCACATTTGAATCACGGAGGACAATTTAAAAGATTCCCAAGTATGGGACTTAACCACCAGTGATTCTGACTTAATTGCTTTTGCCCTGGGACTCCTGCCTTGAGGTCATAAAGGCTCACCAGGTGTTTCTAATGTGCACTAGATTCAATCATTGCTTCTCAAGCTTTGCCATAAAGTACCCGGCAATCTTTTTAAACGTAGATTCTAATTCTCTAGGTCTGGGGTGTCTGAGTTCTGCATTTTTAACAAGCTCCCAGATGAAGCTGATGAAGCTGATGCTGCTAGTCTGGAATCAAACTGAGTGATTAGTGTTCCATAACAATTCTCAACCTTCAGTGCCCAGCAGGATAACCCAGCGGCTTGTGGCAAATGTAGCACTGGGACCTGGGTCTGGACCTCACAAATTCTGTTTTACTTGGTTTAGGTAGGGGCAAGAAAAGTCATGGACTATAGTGTCCATTTCAACCTGAAAATCCTATGATGCCAATTTTGTGATTTTATAATATGATTTCTCTCCCAGTTTAACGGTTCTGTAAAAAAAAATTACAGCATCTGTAGTTGAGCGTGTGGAATATCATTGTCAGAAACACGAAAGATGGGTGAACTCAAGGTATGTGAAGTCAAGACATGGTTGATCTTTATATCACGTGTACCTTCAACCTCCAAAATTCTCCTTTTGAGTTCATGGGGACTTTTCACGGACTCTCTGTGTGAGCAGGGTTTATTGTAGACGAAGCACTCCCAGATGAACCGGGAGAGCACCCTTCACTGACAGCAGATGAACAGAATGACCCTGGACTTTTTTCTGCTCTTCACAACACATCATGCTTTCTAAAGCAGAATCCCCAGAGAAGCGGGCTCACCTTCCTTTACCTCCAAGGAAAAATGGAGATGGGAGAAAATAACAAGCTGCTTTATTCAGCAGAGCAGAGGACTGACTTTTGAAAATCTCTGGGAATTTCAGCAGAATCTGTCCCAGGATAGATATTAGATCATTTTCCTTCTTTTTCTTTTTTCTTATCCTCCTGGATTTCTCTTGCTTTTACTAGCTCAAAACATCCTCTACCTAGCGACAGGCTTTTTGCCACTTTCCAAGAATAATTGAAAAACAACCATGATGGGGTCAGAAACATTGTTAATTCTGATACTGTTGCTTTGGATAACCATTGTGCATTAATTAATATAGAAGGGGCTGGATCCCCAAAAGTATATGAATTTGTAAATCAACTGATGCAAGGATAGTAATGTGGAAAATGAAAGTCTTATTTTCTTCCTTTCCCCTTTAAAAGTATTTACACCTGTCCTTGATCAGTCTATAGAAATGTCTGCATTCCCTCGAGAATGGACATCTCAAGAATGCAATAATCACACACCAGTTTAGCCAAGGGAATCAATCCTAGGACATCCACATTCCAGGTACTTAACTCAATACTGTATTTCCATTTGGGCCTTTTTCATAGAAGAGGGTATCCAGTGGAGGCTCCTTGACCTCAGTAATATCCCTTTGAACCTGGGCTGGGCTGGCCAAGTAGAAAGCTGCCACGTGCTATGATTTAACAGCAGCACAAGGCCCTAATTGCCTCACATGCCCTTCTCAAGAGCCAGCCACCATGCTGCCCTCCTTCCACTGGTTCTTGGGATCTTGCCAGTGGTGAGGGGCTTTAGTCACCTACATGCGCATTTGGTTCAGAAAGGGAGGAGCGGGAGCCATGGTCCTCAGCCCTCTGCCCATTCACTGGGAGCCCTTTACCAGGCTGAGGGGCTTGTTATCCAGGAAAGATTATGGTGTCGGTGCTGAGCGGAAGGGAGCTGCTGTGAAGGAGCTGGAACAACGCAGTGACAAGCCTCACATCACAGTGGCAGCAAAACTCCAGCAAGGAGACCCTGGGGGTGATTGGTCCTAGGTGGTGGGGCTCTGGGGAAGGTGTTGGTGGGAGAGGGGCTTTCAGTTTTCAAGTGATGTGAAGGACTAGATAGATAGTAGAAGTTAGTCTTGGTTCTCCCTATTTTTCAGTTTTGCCCCGAGTTAGCTTTTGATGTGACAATAAAACAACCACTGTTTTTTTAAATTGTTTTAAAATTAATTTTTCTTTTTTTTTTTTTTTTTTTGCTAAAAATAGGAGATTCACTCCTATCAGGTAACATTCTTGTTTGCAAGGCAGTGAAATCTCAAACAGGGGAGAGATGGCCTTTTGCAAAAGTGTTTATTTCATTGATTTGCTTATGTATGGTGTTTCCCAGGTGGCAGTTTAAAGCACTTTCAATTCTTACCTCGTTATTGCTCTTAACAACTTATGAAATGGGCACTATTATTGTTTCCATTTTTCAGAGGAGGAAATTAAAAATTCAAAGGTTAATTTTCCCAGGTTGACTGTGGCAGACCCAGGGTTTGAACCTAGGCAGTAAGGATCTGGTTGTAACCACTGTGCTATCCTGCCTCTGATGCTGGGGACATCCCATTCTGGGGTGGAAGGAGAGAAATCAGACAGGATGGACTGGTTCTTAAATGCTGGTCCCCGGAAGAGTGTGAGAGCTGGGGAATTGTCATTGGAGCTCTTGCTTAAAAGGCAAACCTCTACGACTTATACCTGGATTTCTGATTCAGGAGGCCTGGGGGTTTTGAAAAACTGACCTGGGTGTTGTTTAGGAAACCCTCACTCTCACTACAGATCCAAGATTCCTTGATTGCAACATCATTCTGATTGCCCTAAAATGAACGTTCTCTCATCAGGGAGCCACAGTCAGTAGCTTATGCTACCACCTCCCATGCATTTTCCAGTCCTTCCAGCTCTGGTGTCTAAACCATAGTCACTGATGGTGACAAGTCTGTCCACTCCACCCCAAACTCCATCTGGCGACAACCACCAGACTGCCTTGCGTCCTCTGAGTCTCCCACACCCTGACTGTTTGCCTTCCATAAATGCCTGGAGCCCACAGTCCTCTTAAAGACTTAAACTGTGTCTACTGCAAGGCAAAGTGGGCATCTTTATTATCTATAATTCACTGCCACTCCCCTTCTCTGCTCTGCCAACAGAGACGGGGCTCAGGTGTCTGACCCCAGCACCAGATGTTACTCTCCTGTTCAAATGGAAATGGACAGATGCAGCAATGTTTAAACTCAGAGCCAGAGATGGGATTGAGCCCTGCCTCAGCCCCCTTTTCCTTCTGGCCTCCGTTCTCCATCTGTTCCCAGCACCTTCTGACTTGCAGACCCAGAAGGGGCTGGAAGTTCTGGCCAGTCTCTCACCCTTCTTCTATTTCCGTAACATTTTCGTGTCCTTTTAAGTGGCTGAAAGGAGCAATGCTGACTACACACACCCACAGGAATGAGGAGAATTAGCAATCGTATCACTTTTGCTAATGTAAGCTCTGCTGATGAGCATACTGACCCCAGCCAATCAACCAGATGATTACCAGCCCCTCTTGACTTTAAGAAGATGGGATCCTGCCCAGGAAAATGGAAGCAGAGAAGGAGGCTTGCAAGCCCTTGAGTTTGCCGTGAGAAATTGGCTTAAGAGCTAGGGAAAAAGCACTTCAGACAAGACAACTGGGAAAGTCAAGGCAGAATATTATAAGTGCCCTCTGTGAAGCACCCCTGTGTCAAGCACCCATTGCCACGTAACAGTGAAAGATGCCAGCGTTATCAAAACAGCATTTCCTTTTCTGTTCTGCCTCGTGGCTTCGAAGAGTTCAACCACTTCTCTAAGAAAATGAAAGTCGCCTTTCTTCTCAGTGCATTCCTTGTACCATTTGGGATATGCCCATCACCAGGTTGCTTTGACTGAATACCCTAAATATTCTATGGAGAAGAGAAAATAGGCTTCAAAAAAATCTCCTGCCTGTCAAGAGAGCCCATTAAATACCCCAGCTTCTTCCTGTACTCTTATATGCTGGCAGAACATTCTAAGTGCACCCTGGAACACAAGAACAAGCAAACTGGAGCCTAACTGACCATCTTGAAATCTGTAATAAAAATGTACCTATCAGCCACACTTCACGACAGGTGCGTTCCTTAGTGCTTCCCAAGCACACTGTTAATTCCTTGAGGCAGTCATTGATTTCATCTAAACTAGATAAGACAGCTGTAGAAGCTCAAAGCTTATCTCAGGAGCCCCTCATCCGGCTGGATTTCAATCGACAGGTCAGGGTGCCCTAGACCTACTCATCCAGCGCGGTAGCTGCGCACTCAACCTTTTCCTGTGGCTGAAAGCATCCTCGAAGCCTTTCAAACCTAGACTTTGGTTGCAAGGAGTTGGAATAATTTTCTAACATAGCTTTCCAAGGGTTGTTTGTGTGAAAGCTGGGTAGGTTGCTTGTTAACTACATCAAGAAGTTTAGATTTATTCATTCTCCTACATGCCTGCCTCAGTTCCAGAAACAGTTCGGTAGAGGTTACCAACTGGGAAATCCCAGTTGTTGAACTTCTGCAGTAGAGCTTACACTGCTGCAGTCCACACGGCACTGTTAATATAAAAGCAACATGCAAACGAGAGGAGTTTCCTCTCTTTCTAGCATTTAATTACCTTGAGCTCCTTGGCTGTAAAAGAATCTTTGAGCCGATTCAACATCCAAGAGTCTATGAGCAGACTCGACATCCAGAAAATAATCCATTTTGGGATAATCCATCTTCGATGTTCCAGAAACAGTTTTAAGACAAAATAGTCACTTGTATTGCCTATGGAAGAGGGGAAAAAAAATCCACAGTATTTTAGACTGTCAAATATGATTTTAGAAGAAGAGATACCCCAAGTCCATCCCTCAACAGAGCTTTCCTACTGTAGGAGAAAATGCAGCCTTTCACCAACATTTATTAACAGTAATATATGCTACACAGAAAGTACAGATGATCCAGGCTAAAGAGAGATAACATACCAGTCTTTCCTTGCTGTGTATTAACTGGAAAATAAACTTTTAAATTTATATGCTCTCTGTTTTCAAAAGGTCTGTCTGATAAATGACATCATTAAGTATCAGCCATTCTGAGTATTGATCCTCAGTTGATCCAGGGAGTTCCAATTCCCCTGGAGCAGCGAGCATCTCCTGGGAATCAGAGCCTCCACCTATAGATGCCTTGCGTTTATGACACATGCTGACATGTTTGCTGTAAAAATGCCTTGCACTCCTTCCTTTTAGCGATTTCCTCTAGCACGTTTTATAAAGTGCTAAGGATCATCACCTGCTTGCCTCTGACAGGCTGCTTTTGAGAAAGAACTCTGGTTTGTAGAGCAACGACAATTATTTCAGAATTGCAATGATCCCCGGGATATTATCATGCACTAGCTTGTCAGGAAGCTAATATGCTTCATTAAAAAGCATTCAGCCTGTTAGGTTCTTTCTAGCATATGTAGCCTTTCCCCCGTACTTGCACAAATGAAGTCTCTCTATTTCTGCAGGATGTTTTTGGAAAGAATTAACAAGACAAAGTCTTTAAAATCAAACTCAGAAGGATAATCCAATTGGTTTTTCTTTCTAACAGTGCATATTTTAATTTAAGAAACCAAGTCTGGTAGGCGGAAACTTTAAAAAATATCCAAAGCTACCCCAACGGCAAATCATACTTACTGCAAAAAAGAAAAAAATAAATAAATAAAATCAAGGGTTAACTGCCGGCAGTTAAGAGCAGAAGCAATTTCAGCCACAGCGTCTTTGATCTCACTAAACATTCCCGGTGAAAGTAAACAATTTTGATTGTTTGATTAGATCGGCGATGAATAATGTATACCGTCCGCTGGACTTCCTTTATCAGATAAAATGGCCAGAGCACGTTACCTTAGCAACGGAAGGTGACGCCAGCCTCAGTCTCTTTGTATCCTCCACTGCGAAGGAAGGAAATGACCAGGTTCTCGGGTAAAACTTTGGCAGAAAACCATCACCGTCAAAATCTACATGTCACCATCACGCGGGTCCGATGCCCCATCCCGCCCCCGACCCCTACCCCTGCCTCCATCCCCCGGCTGCCGCCGCCCATCTCTTAGGCAGAGTACTGCCAAAGTCATTTAAAAAAATGGTTTTGGTTTAATTATTTTTATAGCTCCAAGTCCCAGTTTTATTTGCAATTGTAACACAATTACACGATCATGCAGTTAATATGGTAGAAAAGTTGTCGGTGCACCAGTTCCTACCCTAACGCAGGCTAAGGGCGGTGGGGAAAGGCTGTTTTAGCGAGTATCAGTTACACATTCCCCGGTTATAATTAAGATAACCCAAAAAAGATATATATGAAAGAGTCTTGCAGTTAGCAGATACTCACCAGCACTTTCAACAGGACCCCGTAGAGCATAAAAGGAGGCTGCCTCACGCCGCTGAGCCCACAAGCCCAAATGAACAGCTTCTAATTTTTCCTTCAATCTCAGTTCAAGAGCACCAAGCACAGGCAAGTGATGGATTTGCCCATTTTATATTGTGATGAAATACAACCCCTAAGAAGAGATCTGAGGGGAGCTGTTCTTTAGAACACATTAGACTGCTAATTTAAGAAAATTGAAAGGTTCTGTTTTACTGTCTTTTATGTGTTCTCTCTGCTACCCCCACAATTTAATTTGCATTTAAAATTAGGCTCGTGTCTCCTCGGTTCTCCTAGGTGTGGAGTACTTTCTAATCACAATGGCTGCTTGGGCAGGGTTTGGTGCAATGCCACTTTTATTCTGAGCTGCAAAACAAGGTGGGTAATTATAATTGCGAGCTGTTTTCTGGAGTGAAATACAGAGTGAACATTGGATTTCACCCCCTCCCTCTTCTCTGGCCTTTCTTCCTCTTCCAGCCTCTGATTGCTTGGTCAAATCTCCGGCCCCAATCATGCCAATTTGTCTAAATGAGTTTCTCTCTGTCTGAATGTAACAAAATAAACCTCACAGCAAAAAGAAACTTTGGTTTGATACCTGAGCTTATTCTGGTAGAATAGCCTCCCTACCAAACCTCAGTAAGGACTTTTAGGCATAATACTTTGAGATCCACTCATGAAAGGCATAATGATAGCCAAATACAAGATCTGTAGTGGGTTTTCCATGACCCTCTTGCACCCTTTGTTGACCAAGCAGAATTAGTAAGAAGTGTGGTGTGGTGTGTGGCGTGTTGTATTGTTAAGAAAAGAGAAGCTGCATTTAAGAAGCCTTGGAAGGAAAACCACCAGACTCCCTTCTCCCATATACACAGCTTTGTGGACTACTCTTGACACAAACCTGAACATCTCCTTCTGTTTATCTTATGGGCTCTCCCACCCAGTCAGAACAAATCAGACACCAAGCTGGTGCTACAGTTAAGCCTGATGAAAGAGGAAGCTGAAACTACCAATCATATGCCCTTGTAGGAAGAGCCAACTTTGGACTCAAGAATACTCAGATCTTTGCCCAGACCCAAGGACTGACTTCTCTAAGGTTACATTTCTGTTCAGCCCCCAGTGGAGACATGCTGAACACTTGACATTTACAAAAAGAGAAAGCTGTCTTCTGGTTCCTTTAGCTTACAGTAAGGTGTGGGTGACGGGTTCTGAACTCTCTATTGTGATTCTACTGAAATTGTAATGACTCAGAGGTGAGAGAGAGAGAGAGAGAGAGAGAGTGTGTGCACAGTCCACTGTTGGTGAGCCCAAATGAATGTGCGATTGAAAAGGAGATGCTAAATTGGAAATGTGAAAAATAGAGTTGATTCCCAGGGGTTGGGGGATGGGTTTGGAAGTCAGTCATTTCTGGAGAGTTGACCAAGAAAGGGAATTTGAAGTCTTACAGAATGAACATATAATGTGAAAGGGCAATGCTTTAAAGAAAACTTGGAGAGGAAAATTTCAACTTAAAGAAATGTATTTGGGAAGGGGATGATTATTCACTTGCAAAAAGGGACTTTATTTTACTAAGTAATTAACGGCCGAGTTCTTTAACACGATGTGACCAGGTTCCGAAATAGATTTTACAAAAGGATTTTATTCTCTGGGGAGCGTAGCTGTAGATCACGTATAGCAATATCTGTGTGAGGCATTATTTTTAAAGGTGCGGAAGTATTGTAATGTTCAAAACCCAATGTCAAGATCTGATCAGCTCAGCTCTGTTTTATAGCTTTAATCTACTCAAAAGCAGCATTTATAATGGCCCATTGTTCTGAGATGCAATAGAACCAGACAAAGAAGGCAAGGTTACAGCAAGTACTCAGAATAACTCTTATGCAGCGCTGAACGATTCAGCCCAAAACATCCTTGAGACGTCAGCTCCAAAAGTTAACTCAGGGCTTCCCTGGTGGCGCAGTGGTTGAGAGTCCACCTGCCGGTGCAGGGGACGCGGGTTCGTGCCCCGGTTCGGGAAGATCCCACGTGCCGCGGAGGGGCTGGCTCAGTGCTCCAGCAACGGGAGAGGCCACAACAGTGAGAGGCCCGCGTACCGCAAAGAAACAAAAAACAAACAAAAAAACCCCACCCAAACACCCAGTATATAAATGAAAAATAATAGTAATCCAGAATTTTTGTCTCCTAACTCACTCAGACAGTGTTAACATAGCTCAGTGAGCTAGAGATAAACAATCATTTTTAAAAAGCCAGAGTTATGTCTTTTACATTGATGGCATGACAATATGAAAGTTTAGCACTGTAAGCCTGAAATCAATAATCTCGTATTATTTAAAATACATGACTTGGCAGAGATGTTTATACTTTTCTGTTCAGTTTGGTGGTAAGAGAATATGTGTGTGAGCATTCTGTATACAAAAGAAAGAAGTGTTGGATTAATTAAAAAATGAAGGCATATTTCAAGATGGAATCTGGAGATCAGTAAAGATAACAGCTTGTATTAATTTATCTTTGAGGTGTACTTATTTATACAGTTGGATGGCATAAGACCCAAACGATCTGAGAGAGAGGTTCACATGACTTGCAGTTAGACAATTTGCTCTTTTAACATCATCCAAACAACTTCCATCAGAGTCAGTCTGGGTTTACTCTGTTTGCTAAGAGATAAAGAAGTTTGTGTTATTGACAATTTTACAATTCATATTTTTTTGTTTAATTGCTTTACTATATTCCAGAGATCTCTAGAAGACCATGTTTTTATTTGTGTTGGACTACATGAAGCTCTGCCTTCTACCTGCATGAAATCTTGGGGAAGTTCCTTTTTTCCCAAAAGACTCAACTAACTTTAAAATTATTAGGAGCTCTCAAAGTGTGAGGATATTTTGGATCCCTTGGTAGTGGGGGGGGGGCGGGGGACCTAGACTGAAGATCTTTGGTTAAGCGCTAGCTCACTAAACAAGTATAGAAAATAATATATTCATTTATTTTTGCAAATAGTTGACCTGAGAATGATATGCTTCAACAGCAGCCGGTTCTCTCTGCTCGGCAAGTCACTCTCTTATCTCTTGATCCAACACTCAAAAGGAATCTTTCCTTCTCTCCTCAATAAAGCTTGTCATTAGATGGTAGGGGTACTGCAGACACTTTATCTGGGGCTTTATTTTTATTGAAATCTCCCTGGGAAAGGAAACACGTTAAACCATCATCAATTACTTTTACTTTAGTATAAATTAATTTCCAATCTTTTCTTGTGAAAAGATTTTGATGATAGAAAGCTAAAGAAAGCTGGGAGGGTTGGAAAGATGGACTGAGAAAAAAAACATAGTCTCACAGGGAGGAGGAACCTAATTTTATTCCATGTAAACATGTAGGCATGTTTTGAGGGCTTACTTATGTATAAGGTACCAGGTATTCAGCTGGCAAATAAGGACGTTAAATCTGTAACCATCTTAGTTTGGACCAGGGCTTGAAACTCCCTTAAAGGACCAGAGGCAGACTCCTAAATCCTATTTCAGGAACATTATGTCAAAGGAGTTTCCCCTTTGGCCCATCCTCAGCTATAGCAGGAAAATTCTTCACAACAAAACCATGCAGGCTTCTGTTCTTGAAACTGCATTCGAGAGACCCACACTAGGAGAGAGGCTGCATTGGCCAAAATGGCAAAGGCCAGAGTCAAGAGCAGCGAAGCCTTTGGTTCCACTTGCTGCCCACTTCTAAAAATATCCTTTCCCCTCTTTTAATACTTTGTAGAAGGGTTGATTCACAGAGTGAAGAGCGAGAGTTCAGAATCTCACCTTTCACTCTGCCAACTGGATTCTAGTAAAGCCCATCTTGCTTATAATGTGGAAATTTCTTGGCTTGTCAAAAAGAATACTCATAAATTATATCTCTATCTCAGTGTTTATCTACTGATCTGGATATAGGGAAATGAAGAAATGTTGAGTAGGGAAATGAGGAATTCTCAAGCAACTCTCTACTTACTATAACTCTCAAAACCCTAAATGTGAAGACATGAAAATGGCCAACTAATGATGGAGAAATGTGTTGACAGTAGCCCCTCTTTTTTTTTTTTTTTCTTTAAGCACCACTTCGAGGGTATGTAAGAATGAATGAAATTTGACTTCATTCCCTCTGGCGAGAAAATCACATTGCCCTCAGTTCTTGATGTGTGTGTATGTGTGTAATTTGTTTCAACTGTCCTGGAGGAAGCTGAAAAAATTAATCACAAGTTCAACTGTGTTTTCCTAGTCCTCCTAAAAACCCAGATGGCAACCTGAAAAATAAGCAAAAACATGTTGAAGAAAGAAAGAATAATGATTTCTATGTGCCATAAGTCTTACAGACCTTACACAGAAGATATGACCCCTGAACTTCCAGAACACATTAGGAAAAGAGGTTTGGCTATACCAGTGGGAGCCCACAGAGAGTGAATTGTATCAAAAGAGTAAAAGTCGGGGCTTCCCTGGTGGCGCAGTGGTTGAGAGTCCGCCTGCCGATGCAGGGGACGCGGGTTCGTGCCCCGGTCCGGGAAGATCCCACATGCCGCGGAGTGGCTGGGCCCGTGAGCCACGGCCGCTGAGCCTGCGCGTTCGGAGCCTGTGCTCCGCAACGGGAGAGGCCACAAGAGTGAGCGGCCTGCGCACCACAAAAAAAAAAAAAAAAAAAAAAAAAAAAAAAAGAGTAAAAGTCAATTTTAGGTCGTTGTGAGGTCATTTTTACAATCCCACATTACTATGCACAGTGAGGATGGATGATAGATAAATTCGATAGATAAATGTTGAGGTAGATGTAGAGATTAGAAAGAGATAGAGATGGAGTCAAGGATAGAGGTAGAGATTCATAGAAGAAAATGATCAAAATGAATTTAGGCATAGTAGTGACTTTGAGCTACCTTTTTTGTGCTCCCAAATGCCAAGGTCAAAAACGAAAACAGTGTAAGTCAAAGGAACTTTGAGAACTGTTTCATTCCTTTTAGGTTTTGAATACACTAACAAATTACTTGAATAGTAATACTAAATGTTTTCCTTATGCATAGTGTGCAAGGGTATTTGAGGCGTATCTTTGCATAACAAATATTATTCACGATACAGTCTCTGGTTTAATTTCAGAGTTAAATGTCTTTAGGATGTATCACCTGAAGG